GATAGTCATTCAGACCAGTCACTGTAGAGCTTTTTGGGACTGGGATGATGGTGGCAGTCTTCAGGCAGGTGGGAACTGTCTCCAGGGTAAGTGAGGTGTTAAAGATGTCTGCCAGCACCTCACAGAGCTGATCAGCACATTCCTTCAACACTTTTCCGGGGATGTTGTCTGGGCCAGTTGCTTTGTGCGGATTAATCCTCCTGAAAGTACTCCTTACTTCGGCTGAGGTCACGCTGAGATGCTCTTCATCCGGTGGTGAGGTGAGTCTGGTGCTGGGTGGTCTGTTCGGGTCTTCAAAGCGTGCATAGAACTTGTTGAGGGCATCAGGCAGAGATGGGTCTGTGGGGCATTGTTTGCTCCTTCCTTATTGCTAGTATCACTCAGCCCCCTGTGAATAGTAAACAGCCATCAGGGTGCTAACAATCCATTGTTATGCTGATGGTCCTTCTTGATCATGTGAGCAGCTGGTTTTGGCTGTCAGCAGCAAACAAGTGGATCCACTATGATAAGGTGCTATTTATAAGACTGAGCTGAATACAGCACCTCAGACTGGAAGGAAGTCTTTCGGATGAAAGACAAAACGTTTCTTCATTTTTTTTTTTTTTTTAGTTTTGTTTTTTGAATGTCTAGAGGACCAGTCTTAACTTTTTTAGATTTTTCTACCTGTATTATTGAACATGCATCAGGATATCTTGTTGTGGGTGTTGATATGAGTGGACTGGTTGGGTCCTTTGTGAGGGTGGGGGTGCGCTCTTGGTTGCTGTGGTACACCGTCTGTGGCTGTTTGGGCACTCCTGGCTGGTTGTCGTTGTTGGGATTTGGTGGCTTCTTTGGTCAGGGGGCTGGGTGTTGGACTGGGGATAGAGTTGGGGGGTCTGGACATTTTTGGGGGTGGGGGGGTTGGGTTGCTGGCCCTGGTCCTAGTTAGTACTCAGGGTTATGTGCCAGTCTGTGGCCTTGGTCCCTGGTGGTGCGGCTGTCACCTGCTCTTGGGTGGATGTATTGGAGCCTCCCTCCCCTGGTAGATCTCGGGGAATGGGGGTGCCTACTTGAGTCAGTGAGGGAGCTGGTCCCCTGGGAGGGCAATTGCCAACTCAGTTCTTCCTCTCCATCTTGACACCTTCTTCCGCACGCTCCATCACACCACCACTCAAACAGGGCCTTGGGGTGCAAGTGTGCTACTGAGCTGTAGGGAGGATCCTCCATCTCCATGGTCCTGTGGAGACCTGGGCCCCAATTTTATTATACAACTTAGACACTCACTTATAACATTCTCACGATACACACATATATATGTTCTGGGATGGGCACATGATGGCAAACAGGTGGTAGGATGTGTAATCAATACACTGGTGAAGATTCTCAGTCATCCAGGACATGGTAAATTCAAAAAAGTTCAAGACAAAAACAACTGGACTTTATTTGTAACAGAAGATGTTTGGCTTCTCATCCGAGAAGCTTACTCAATTCATAGAGCACGCCCATATTAAATGCACTATATACCAACATGCATCAACACCTTATTTGAGTGGGCGAGGGAGGAGTGGGGTCTTCTTGTTATTTATTTATTTATTTTTCCTCACACCCCTTCTTTGTTTGACATTTGGGGTCTTGGGGGGGGGGGGGGGGGGGGGGGGGGGGTAGGCCGCCTGATTGGGGTCTGGGCTGTTGGTGGGCTTGGGCCTTGGGGAGTGGTTTGGGGCGGGGCTGGTGCTCCGGATCTCCCTGGGTCATTCAGATTTTTTTGATCAAGACTCCTGGTTGCGATGGCTGGCCCCTTGGCCGGAATGGCTGCCAGGTTCCGGCAGGGGGTTGGCTGTGGTTGTGTGTGTGCATGTAGTCGCTGGTGGGGTATGGCAGCGAACAGGGGCGTGGCTTCGCTTTGACGGGGCACTGGCTAGTCGGCCTGGTGTGACATTTGCGGTGGGGGGGTGCTGTGTGTATGGGGGGTGGAGGTGCGCTGGCAGCATACCTGGGCATCTCTGGGCCTGTGGTGTGGGGTTGGTGGGGTGCCTGGTCCTTGGTGTGCTGGGCAGGCCTTCCTCCGTTGCTTCTCCCTGCTGCTCTGGCCTGGGGCCGGCCTACGGTGGCTGTCGGGTGCGTGGGACGCATGGACGGCCTGACAGAGCCTCAGTCTGCGTGTGCCTGTTTATGTTTCAGGTTGGGTTTTGGGTGGTCTTCTCTTGGATAATTTTGGACCCCCCCATTTAATGTGGGGTCTTCTTCCTCGTCGCACTCCCCTCCGGTGGCGGGTCCTCCTGCCACTGGCGCATTGGTGGATCTTGGCATCTGGGGCTGGGTGCTTGGATGTGTGCAAGCCCGCCCTGGTGGCTGCTTGCTGGGGTTCGGGTGCCATAGCTCTGTTAGGCCTCTGTTGGGGGGTGGTATGACCTTGGAGCTCGGCTCTCTGTGTCCATGGCCAGATCTACTCCGGCGTAGCAGGTTGCCGGCGGGTCTGTGGGCTCGTCGCTGTAGCCTCCTGGGGCTTCTGCACTGTGGCTGCTAGGGGTCGCCCGGGGCTCTCCTCTGCTTCTCTCTGGGGTGGGGTTGGGGTGCAGTTATTCCTGTTGGGGAACTTCCGGGGCTTCGGGCTTGGAGTCTGCTGCGTGTCTATGGCTCCGGTTTTCCCTGTGTTGCCATCACGTCCTGGGGGGACGGGTCTGTGGGTCCCCACACCCACTATTGAACATTCTTATGGAGAAATCTTATAGTTACAAGCATGCTCACACAGGTGTTTAGATTCTGGTGGTTATCAGATACACACTCAATTGGGTTGGGGTGGCCACTAAATACATCTTGTATCTCCATGTACCATATACAATACTTTCTAATGATGCTATAACTATCATTATATTTGCATATGTTGTTTGTTGTTACAGTTTCTTGGTTTTGCCTTTTTTCTTTCCACAGGTATAGAAGCAGACTTCAATGACGATGATTTGTGTTCTCTTTATACCGCCCTCTCTCTCTCCTCTACTCCTATCTCCTTCTTTCCCTTTTAACCCTTCTCCCATTTTTCTACCTTTGTTTTCTTTGTTTTTCATCCCTGTGTCCATTACATCTGAAACAAACCTAAAGCAATTCTAATAAAGATTTATTTATATATCAAGTGGAGCATTATGGACAGCTGTAATGCTATGTTTGTGAAAGTAAATTTGTTGAGCCTCTCCTTGACACTCAGTCAACAATTCTGAGTGCCACAATGCCGGACAGGACACGGGAAAAAAAAAGTTTTAAAATTCTTTGTGTGACATCTTTCTGTGTTGGTAATTATGCGTTTAAATACTGGAATCTCATTTTAAAGTCACAGTCAGTCACGAAGCAGAGAAACAGAAGCTGTCTTCCCGTCCTCCCCTTCCATCCATAAGAGCTCAACGGTGGACAAGATGTATATTCCAGATGTATTTTTAAAGCGGTCAGTCAAGACTGGTACATTTTTACATAAGTTAAAAAAATTATTTCTGTGTACGGTAAATATGTGTTTAAATATCAGTATCTCATTTGACCTTAAACAGGGCCATTAAACAGAACAGAGGAGACATTGAGAGGGCGGAAAAAAGAACGGAGAAGGAGGGGTTGTTCCCCTTTGCTTTCTCCCTGCTGCTTATATGAGCAGTGCTGAGGAGAAATGACATCAAATTTATTTAGAAAGTACATTTAAAAACAGCAGTTTTTAACAAAAGTGTTTACCAATAAAAATCAATGGTACTAATTTAATGAATATTTACTGCATCATACCAGTACTATTTGACTTCTGATCACATGACCTAGATAGGACGGGGTAGTATTTACCGGTAAATAATTGTTAAATAATTTAATTTATGTAGGTGTTTGGCACTGTTCTGTCCAGTGATAATGCTTAGTTACTGTGTTCATTTTGAAGGTATAACGGTTGTAACCATGAGTAATAGAGAGAAGCTTTACTACGATCTTTCAGTCTGAGCATGTGCTGAAAGCAAGCTATATTCTGTGAAACACCGTCTGTGTTTCACAGGGACCCCAGGAGTTCCGACAACACATCAGCAGTTGTGCGTGCACCGTGTAGAGCTGTCTGGAGACGCTCCTGTGTGTAACATGTACAGTGAGCGCTGCTGAAGGTGTTGGATGAAGACACTTCATCCCCGTGGGATATACGGGCCGTGTCTCAGCTTGGCAGGAGTGTGTGCACGAGCTGGTGCAAGTGCTGCAGCCGGAACATCCACTACAAAGATTGGGTCCGCAGGTCCAAAGTCAACGTATCTTTTCGTTGTATTTTTAATAAACGATCTACATATTAATGCTTGATGACTTTGACCTTTAGAGGCGGAGATTTGAGTTGTCATATCCAAGCTAACAGTCGCCGGAATGCACCCGGTCAAAATGAGGGTTCCCGGATCTTGTTCCGGCAGGATCCGGCTCAAATTAAGCCCCGCTTAAACGCCTATATAATATTAGAAAAAGAAGCAATTTGTGAAATTACATTTTATTATTGTTGACAAAACATTTGCTTCACTCCTCACTTTCTCTTTTGTCAATACTGTCATCTAAAACAGGTGTGGGCATAAAGATTGGAGTATCTGTTGGATTGACCAATCTAATTAGCAGCAGTACATATGTTTAAGTTACATAAATATGTACATGTATAGTATATGTAATGTCCTATGCTTTGTTGCAGTCCAAGAACAGTCCAGTCTTTGGTGCAGTCCATGCTTTTGTTGCAGTTTGTGTAGCATATATTTTAGTGCATATCTTAGACCCTTTTTTATTGTTTCTTTTTGTACTTTATATTTTGCTATTTTTGGGTGTAACTGGGATCCTGTGTACGTAATTTCATTACACCTCATGTACTACATGTGATGGAAATGACATTAAAACTGACTTGAACTTGAAGTCCTTTGCGATTTTGGTGTTATGCTTAGTGAAATTCTGACGACAGTTTGGATAATATTGTGCAGACCTAATTACTTTCATAGGCTACTGTATTGTTGATGTCTGAAAGTAAAAAATTGGAGTTACCTGAGGTCAGGGATGATCCAGCACTGATATCTCTAGAAGTAGAATTGAGGAAGTCATCCAAAGCTTCCTGGTCAGATAAGTTAGCAACTGTGATCTCATCCAGAATACAAAGATCAGACCCTGCTGTCTCTGTGCACACACACACACACACACACACACACACACACACACACACACACACACACACACACACACACACACACACACACACACACACACACACACACACACACACACACACACACACACACACACACACACACACACACACAAACACACAAACACACAGAGAGAGTAATTAGGTGACAGCTGTAATCAGTCACGGTAATAAACAAAATCCAACATGAAGGATGAACAAACAATAATAAACAAGTTTTCAATAATTAATCAATGAATGATTAATTCTCTTAACTAAGGCAAAATTGACTCTTTGAGCAGGAATTATTTCAGTTCTATACGCGCATATGAATTTAGACAAAGTTTGACTATTTTAATAAATAGTTTACTTTGGATTTTGGTTGAAAGAAGTTATTTAATCTGATCAGATAAAGTCATTTACCGACACTGCAAGCCAGGAAATGATTTACCAAGTTGCACCAGTTTAAAATAGCATAACCAGACCAAGAGTTGCATCATGTCACCAGGTTCTGCTCCTTTCCAGGTCAGTGTTGATGGCACCACTTGTCTTTCTGGGGTTCTCTGGTGGATCTGACCAGAGACACCATGAGGAGGACTCACCCAAGATAGCTGACCGTCACTGTGGCAGCTTCAGGGGTCTGTGAGGGAACAGCTGATGAGAAGTCCCAAAAAGTTCAATCTGGTCCTCTGGACATTCAAAAAAACAAAGCAAAACAAAGCAAAAAAATGTAGAAACGTTTCGTCTCTCATCCGAGAGACTTCCTCAGTCTGAGGTGCTGTATTCAGCTCAGTCTCTTAAATAGCACCTTCTCAGAGTGGATCAACCAGTTTGCTGCTGACAACCAAAACCAGCTGATCACATGCTCAAGAAGGACCATCAGCCTAACAATGGATCATTAGCACCTGATGGCTGTTTACTGTTCACAGAGGGCTGAGTGATACTAGCAATCACAGCATTGTAAGAGGGGGACAGTTGAACCCGGAGGCCTCCTGTCCCCCTCTTACAATGCTGTGATTGCTAGTATCACTTTTCACACAAAGGATCTTTGTGCAAAACAACAGCTCTGAGAAGATTGTTTTGATGACTCAGGAACACTGTGGCTCCCCTCTGAAGAAAACGGCTTCCAGCTCAAAGAAATTTTCACAGGTGTCTCTGAAGGAATAATCACTTTCTGAAAAACAGAACAGAGAAATATGTTATTCACATTGTAATATATTTTTTAAATTTAGAAATGTATTCATTTCATTAAAAACAAGACAACTATATACAATAGAAAATAAATATATATCCATCCATCCATCCATCCATCCATTTTCTTCCGCTTATCCGGGGTCGGGTCGCGGGGGTAGCAGCCTAAGTAGGGAGGCCCAGACTTCCCTCTCCCCAGCCACTTGGGCCAGCTCTTCCGGGGGAATCCCAAGGCGTTCCCAGGCCAGCCGAGAAACGTAGTCCCTCCAGCGTGTCCTTGGTCTTCCCCTGGGCCTCCTTCCGGTGGGACGTGTCCGGAACACCTCACCAGGGAGGCGTCCAGAAGGCATCCTAAACAGATGCCCAAGCCACCTCAACTGGCTCCTCTCGATGTGGAGAAGCAGCGGCTCTACTCCGAGTCCCTCCCGGATGATCGAGCTTCTCACCCTGTCTCTAAGGGAGAGCCCAGACACCCTGCGGAGAAAACTCATTTCGGCCGCTTGTATCCGAGATCTCATTCTTTCGGTCACAACCCAAAGCTCGTGACCATAGATGAGGGTGGGAACGTAGATCGATCGGTAAATTGAGAGCTTCGCCTTTTGACTCAGCTCTCTCTTCACCACGACAGACCTGTACAGCGCCCGCTTCACTGCAGACGCTGCACCTATCCGCCTATCGATCTCACGCTCCATTTTTCCCTCATTCGTGAACAAGACCCCAAGATACTTGAACTCCTCCACTTGGGGTAGGACCTCCTCCCTGACCCAGAGAGGGCACTCTACCCTTTTCCGGCTCAAGACCATGGCCTCGGATTTGGAGGAACTGATCTTCATCCCGGCCGCATCGCATTCGGCTGCGAACCGCTCCAGTGAAAGCTGTAGATCACGATCTGATGAAGCCAATAAGACCACCTCATCTGCAAAAAGCAGAGACGCAATTCTGAGGCCACCAAAACGGATCCCCTCAACACCTTGGCTGCGCCTAGAAATTCTGTCCATAAAAGTTATGAACAGAATCGGTGACAAAGGGCAACCTTGGCGGAGTCCAACTCTCACCGGGAACAAGCCCGACTTACTGCCGGCGATGCGGACCAGGCTCTGACACCGGTCATACAGGGACCTAACAGCCCGTATCAAAGGGCCTGGTACCCCATACTCCCAGAGTACCCCCCCACAGGGCCCCCCGAGGGACGCGGTCGAAAGCCTTCTCCAAGTCCACAAAGCACATGTAGACTGGTTGGGCAAACTCCCACGCACCCTCCAGGACCCTGCTGAGAGTGTAGAGCTGGTCCAGTGTTCCACGGCCAGGACGAAAACCGCACTGTTCCTCCTGAATCCGAGGTTCGACTATCCGACGGACCCTCCTCTCCAGAACCCCCGAATAGACCTTACCAGGGAGGCTTAAGAGCGTGATTCCCCTGTAGTTGGAACACACTCTACGGTCCCCCTTTTTGAATAGGGGGACCACCACCCCGGTCTGCCAATCCAGGGGAACTTCCCCCGATGTCCACGCAACATTGCAGAGTCGCGTAAGCCAACACAACCCTACAACATCCAGAGCCTTAAGGAACTCTGGGCGGATCTCATCCACCCCCGGGGCCCTGCCACCGAGGAGCTTTTTAACCACCTCGGTGACCTCAGCACCAGAGATTGGAGGGCCCGACCCAGAGTCCCCAGGCTCCGCTTCCTCAGTGGAAGACGTGCCGGTGGGATTGAGGAGGTCTTCAAAGTATTCCGCCCACCGACCCACAACATCCCGAGTTGAGGTCAGCAGCAAACCACTCCCACTATAAACAGTGTTGGTGGCATACCGCTTCCCCCCCCTGAGACGCCGGATGGTGGACCAGAAACGTCTCGAAGCCGTGCGGAAGTCGTTCTCCATGGCCTCTCCGAACTCCTCCCATGCCCGAGTTTTTGCCTCAGCAACCACCCGAGCCGCATGTCGCTTGGACTGCCGGTACCCATCAGCTGCTTCCGGGGTCCCACAGGCCAAAAAGGCCCGATAGGACTCCTTCTTCAGCCTGACAGCATCCCTCACCGACGGTGTCCACCATCGGGTTCGAGGGTTGCCGCCCCGACAGGCACCGACAACCTTGCGGCCGCAGCTCTGGTAAGCCGCCTCGACAATAGAGGCACGAAACATGGTCCACTCAGACTCAATGTCCCCCACCTCCCTTGGAACATGTTCAAAGTTCTCCCGGAGGTGGGAGTTGAAACTCCGTCTCACAGGAGACTCTGCCAGACGTTCCCAGCAAACCCTCACAATACGTTTGGGCCTACCAGGTCTGACCGGCATCCTCCCCCACCATCGGAGCCAACTCACCACCAGGTAGTGATCAGTTGACAGCTCCGCCCCTCTCTTCACCCGAGTGTCCAAGATATGTGGCCGCAGATCAGATGAGACGATGACAAAGTCGATCATCGAACTGCGGCCTAGGGTGTCCTGGTGCCAAGAGCACATATGGACACCCTTATGCTTGAACAAGGTGTTCGTTATTGACAATCCATGACGAGCACAGAAGTCCAACAAAAGAACACCACTCTGGTTCAGATCAGGGGGG